AGGGAGAGAGGTGTGGCGGGAGCCGAGGCCGAGCCTGGCTTTATCCTCTGTGAACGTGTCCCCTCCCCGGACTCTCAGTGCAGCGGCGAGAGGAGGAGGACCCCTTGCAGAGAGGGAGGGAGCAGGGGGCGGTGAGGGATGGCAGGGGGCCAATGAATGGAAAGAGCCAATAAGGGCCTTGGGGATGGGGTATTATGACCCCATGGAAAAGTCTAGAAATGGGTATAAACTCTCAATGTCAGAATGGGTCAAGGCAGAAACATCAGTGTGCACAAAGGGTCAGAGGGGCGTGGCTCTGAAGGACTGCGAGGTGCGGGGCAGCCCTGCTGTGTCCCCCTCAAGCCATGTGCACGGCGTCACCTCTGTGTGTAGAAACTGAGGGTCACCAACCCGGGATCTGGGCCGGGCACGTGGGAGCTTGGTGTCCGACTGTCCCTTTCTTCCCACAGCTACTCAGGCCTCGACATCCTGGCCCGGTGAGTCCCAGCCAGCTCTCCTGGGATGTCCCTCTCTTCTGTACACCTGTGCCGGTCGGCCCTCTCCAGCTGGCCCATGGCTCTGACCGACCCACCCTTTTGGAACGACTCCGTTCCTAAGGCCTCACCACAACCATTCTCTTTGTTGTCCCTTCCAGACTCATGGACACCTCCTTCCACAACTGCCTCTACCCAACTAGCAACAGGTACGGGACCCGTCACCCTACCAGGGCCCTTCTCTGTCTCTGAATCACACCCTGATGGAACCTGAGAGGAAGAGGCTCCATGTGGGCCAACCCATCCTTCCCTGTAGGGGGATGGAGCCAGAGGAGGGTCTCTGACCTGGTCTTTGTCTGACATGGTTGGCCGATGACTTGTCTCCAGGGGGCTTCTGGGAGGAGGCTCTGCCAGGACCCTCCCCTTTGCTCAGTATCAACCCTAGAGGCCTCCTGGCACCTGCTGAGACCCCTGTGCTGGCTCAGCCTCAGGGTGGGTGAGTCTCTGTCCTCTCATGTCTGACAGAGGTCCCATCCCCTCCGAGGGCTTTGCCTCAAGTCAGGTAGGACCATGGAGAAGAAATAGGTGGCCAAGGAGGCCATGGCCTTGGCCTGTCCCTGGAGCCATGGACCTCCACCCTGGGTGGCCCTGGTGGATGCGGTGGGAAGTCCTCACCCCATGGGCAACCCTGGGACTCCCTACCTAGGACACCCTTAGACCTAGCTGCACAGAATGTCCTGGTCCTTTCCCTGTGATGGAGATGAACCCCTGGGTGTGTCCAAAGATGACCATCTGTCCTTGGGCGTGGCCATGAGGGAGGCCCTGAGTCTAAAACCTGCCTCAGGCCTGGAGCTCAGTACAGACATGGAGGAGGTGTCCCTGTGTCGTCCTCTAGGGTTCGGGACCGATTCGGGTTTGGCCCTGAGGCTGGTGAATGGCGGTGACCGGTGTCAGGGCCGCGTGGAGGTCCTTTACCGAGGCTCCTGGGGCACCGTGTGTGACGACGGGTGGGACACCAACGACGCCAACGTGGTGTGCAGGCAGCTGGGCTGTGGCTGGGCCAGGTCGGCCCCAGGAAATGCCCAGTTTGGACAGGGCTCAGGGCCAATCGTGCTGGACGACGTGGGCTGCTCAGGGCACGAATACTTCCTGTGGAGCTGCCCGCACAATGGTTGGAACTCACACAACTGTGGGCACGGAGAGGACGCCGGCGTCATCTGCTCAGGTGCGTCACTACCTTCCCTGGTGGCTCTTCTTGGCAGATGATGCTGAGAACAAGGCCACTCCCCACGCCAGGGCCCCCCTGAGCCTCGGACTGTCCCCCAGGCACTCTAGTGACTCAGGGCAGCTGGCTCCCCGGTGCTAGGTTACCTGCTCTGACTACAGATCAACTTGGTGGGTCCACGTGCCCAGCATCCCTAAGGCAGTGGCAGGAACTGGCTCAAAGGGGTCTGAGCTCCGTGTTCATGCACAAGAGGCAGCGTCCTGATCACAGAGAGGAGCCTGCCCTGTGCCCCCGGAGCCAGCTCACTCCCACCTGCAGGGTGTCTGGGGCTTCCTTCCAGGTCTGCTTGTCCCTGGGTGTGGGTGTTGGTGAGCTCCTCCCGTCTGTGAGGACGGTGTCACCTGGGGACTCCCAGATAGTGATGCAGAGGGGACACCCTGAGAGCACAGAGGTCCTTTGTGAAGGACAGAGAGAGAGGGAGGGAGCAGGGGGAGGTGGGGGGTGGCAGGTCGCCAATGAATGGAAGGAGCCAATGGTAGCCTTGGGGATGGGGCATTTTGACCACATGGAAAAGTCTACAAATCTGTGTAGACTTTCAATATCAGAATGGGTCAAGGTTGAGACATCAGTGTGCACATTGATTGACCCCATTTTGTGGGGTAATTTTGTGTTCACTCTCTGGGGTCAACACCAGGGCTCCAGTGGCCTGTCCCAGGCATGACACTGGCTTCCATTATCTGGACAGGAAGTCCTCAGGTTCAGGGAGGCTGGTGATGGCAGGGGACAGTGGGTATGGCTTTGGAAAGACGGTGAGGTTCGGGGCAGCACTGCTCTGTCCCCTTCCCGCCCCCCAAGGCCACGTGCACAGTATCAGCTCTGTGTGTAGAAGCTGAGGGTCACCAACCCGGGATCTGGGCCAGGCACCTGGGAGCTTGGTCTGACTGTCCCTTTCTTCCCACAGCTACTCAGGCCTCCACATCCTGGCCAGGTGAGTCCCAGCAGCATTCCTGAGATGTCCCTCTCTCCTGTACACCTGTGCAGGTCGGCCCTCTCCAGCTGACCCATAGCTCTTTGAACCCCATCTGGACCACACTTTTGCCCTCTGTCTCCTTAACTAGAGGGGGTGGGGGATTCCAAAGACTCCAACTGTCCCCTTTCCTTGTGAATTCTCATCAGATACTGGCGGCCGTCCCGGGGAGAGTGGCCGATGGTCAGAGAAGTGCCTCCCCTTCCATGAAGGTGGTGACTCCAGGCTGAGGAGGGCTCTGTGGGATAGTGGACACTGATGCCCACTGGCTTTCTGATGACAGGACAGCAGGCTTCTGGCTTTTGTCCTCTTTTCACACCTGCTGCACCCTCAGAACACCTTAAGCCACCAGTGAGTGCCTGGCTCATGGGCGAGAGATGGGAAAGGTCTTCTGATGGGGAGGCACATGGCGGTCAGAGACGTGGAGGATGCGGCTGGTCTCTCCCAGGCCTTCGACCCCGATGACTCAGCCGAACGGGAGGCTAGTGGACAGGCAGGGCGCACGTGCAGGAGGCTCATGGGAAAGTCACGCTGACCAACCCACCCTTTTGGAACGACTCCGTTTAAGGCCTCACCACAACCATTCTCTTTGTTGTCCCTTCCAGACTCATGGACACCTCCTTCCACAACTGCCTCTACTCAACTAGCAACAGGTACAGGACCCGTCACCCTACCAGGGCCCTTCTCTGTCTCTGAATCACACCCTGATGGAACCTGAGAGGAAGAGGCTCCATGCAGGCCAACCCATCCTTCCCTGTAAGGGGGTGGAGCCAGAGGAGGGTCTCTGACCAGGTCTTTGTCTGGCATGGTTGGCCGATGACTTGTCTCCAGGGGGGTTCTGGGAGGAGGCTCAGCCAGGACCCTCCCCTTTGCTCAGTATCAGCCCTAGAGGCCTCCTGGCACCTGCTGAGACCCCTGTGCTGGCTCAGCCTCAGGGTGGGTGAGTCTCTATCCTCTCATGTCTGACAGAGGTCCTATCCTCTCTGAGGGCTTTGCCTCAAGTCAGGTAGGACCATGGAGAAGAAATAGGTGGCCAAGGAGGCCATGGCCTTGGCCTGTCCCGGAGCCATGGACCTCCACCCTGGGTGTCTCTCATGGATATGGAGGCAGTCCTCACCACATGGGCAATCCTGGGGCTCCATCCCTAGGACACCCTTAAACCTGGCTGGACAGGACGTCCTGAACCTTTCCCTGTGATGGAGATGAACCCCTGGGCATGTCCAAAGATGACCATCTGCCCTTGGGCGTGGCCATGAGGGAGGCCCTAAGTCTAGAGAACCTGCCTCAGGCCTGGATCTCAGCACAGACATGGAGGAGGTATCATTGTGTCGTCCTCTAGGGTTCGGGACCGATTCGGCTCTGGCCCTGAGGCTGGTGAACGGCGGTGACCGGTGTCAGGGCCGCGTGGAGGTCCTCTACCGAGGCTCCTGGGGCACCGTGTGTGATGACAGTTGGGACACCAACGACGCCAACGTGGTGTGCAGGCAGCTGGGCTGTGGTTGGGCCAGGTCTGCCCCAGGAAGTGCCCGGTTCGGACAGGGCTCAGGCCCGATCGTGCTGGACGATGTGGGCTGCTCAGGACACGAGTCCTTCCTGTGGAGCTGCCCACACAGGGGCTGGAACTCACACAACTGCAACCACGGGGAGGACGCCGGCGTCATCTGCTCAGGTGCGTCGCTACCATTCCTGGTGGCCATTCTGTGCTGATGCTCCTGAGAACACGCCCACTCCCCACGCCAGGGCCTTTCCTGAGGCTCGTACTGTCCCCCAGGCACTGGAGTGACTCAGGGCCACAGGCTCTCAAGTGCTAGGTTACCTGCTCAGACTACAGGTCAGATTGGTAGGTCCACGCACCCAGCATCCCTAAGGCAGTGGCAGGAACTGGCTCAAAGGGGTCTGAGCTCCGTGTTCATGCACAAGAGGCAGCGTCCTGAGGACAGAGAGGATCCTGCCCTGTGCCCCCGGAGCCAGCTCACTCCCACCTGCAGGGTGTCTGGGGCTTCCACCAGGGCAGCTGGTCCCTGGGTGTGGGGGTTGGTGAGCTCCTCCCCTCCGTGAGGACGGTGTCACCTGGGGGTCCCCAGATAGTGACACACAGGGTACACCCTGAGAGCACAGAGGTCCTTTGTGAAGAACAGAGAGAGTGGGAGGGAGCAGGGGGAGGTGGGAGATGGCAGGTGGCCAATGAATGGAAGGAGCCAATGGGAGCCTTGGGGATGGGGCATTATGACCACATGGAAAAGTCTAGAAATGGGTGTAAACTCCTTTAGGAGAATGGGTCTAGGCTGAGAAATCAGTGTGCACATTGATTGACCCCATTTGTTGGGGTCATTCCCGTTCTTCTGTAGGGTCAACACCAGGACCCTGATGCCCTGTCCCAGGCATGACACTGGCTTCCATACACTGGACAGGAGTCCTCAGGCTCAGGGAGGCAGGCAATGGCAGGGGACAGAGGGCGTGGCTTTGGAAGAACTGTGAGGTTCAAAGCAGCACTGCTGTGTCCCCCACGAGGCCATGTGCACGGCGTCAGCTCCGTTTGCAGAAGCTGAGGGTCATCAACTTGGGATCTGGGCCAGGTACCTGGGAGCTTGGTGTCTGACTGTCCTTTTTTCCCCACAGCTGCTCAGGCCACCACATCCTGGCCAGGTGAGTCCCGCCACCTCTCCTGGGATGTCCGTCTCTCTGCTGCCGTTCGGCCCTCTCCAACTGACCCATGGCTCTTTGAATCACATCTGGACCACACTTTTGCCCTCTGTCTCTTTAACTATTCAGAGAAGGGGAATTCCAAAGACTCCGTCTGTACTTCCTCCTTCTGAGTTCTCATCAGATACTTGGGGTCCATCCCAGGGAGAGGGGCCGATGGTCAGAGAAGTGCCTCCCCTTCCATGAAGGTGGCCCCGTGGCTCCAGGCTGAGGAGGGCTTTGTGGAATAGTGGACACTGATGCCCACTGGCTTTCTGATGACGGGACAGCAGGCTTCTGGGTTCTCTCCTCCTCTTACACCTGCCGCACCCTGAGGGCCAGCATGGTCACTACATCCCAAGGGGCAGAGACAGTGCCTGGGGATGGCAGTGAACATGTCATGAAGGTCCTCTGGGTACCAGGACCTGTGCTTGCCTCCTGGTTCAGTCACCAGGCCCTGACTCTTTCTATCCAAGCTTCAGAGTCACGCCCACACGTCAAGCCACCAGTGCGTGCCTGGCTCATGGGGGAGAGATGGGAAAGGCCTGATGGGGAGGAACATGGTGGTCAGAGACTTGGAGGGATGCGGCTGGTCTCTCCCTGGCCTTCGAAGCCTCCCCATGAGCCATCCTTATCTTTGTCCCTCTGGACAGGCAGAGGAGGGTCTCTGACCAGGTCCTTGTTTGACATGGTTGGCTTTGACTTGTCTCCAGGGTGTTTCTGGGAGGAGGCTCATCCAGGACCCTACCCTGTTAATCAGTGTCAGCCCTCTAGGCCTCCTGGGACCTGCTGAGACCCCAATGCTGGCTGAGACTCAGGGTGTGAGTTTCTGTCCTCTCATGTCTGACAGAGGTCCCATCCCCTCCGAGGGCGTTGCCTCAAGTCAGGCAGGACTGAGGAGAAGGAATAAGTGGCCAAGGAGGCCGTGGCCTTGGCCTGTCCCCGGAGCCATGGACCTCCACCGTGGGTGGACCTGGTGGATGCGGGGGGCCATCATGATCCCTTCATGGGCAATCCTGGGGCTCCCTACCTAGGAACACACTTAGACCTGGCAGGACAGAATGTCCCTGATCCTTTCCCCGCGATGGAGATTAACCCCTGTGGTGTCCAAAGCTGACCGCCTGCCCTGGGATTGGCCATGAGGGAGGCCCTGAATCTAGAACCTGCCTCGGGCATGGAGTTCAGCACAGACATGGAGGAGGTATCCTTGTGCCGCCCTCTAGATTTCGGGACCGATTCGGCTCTGGCCCTGAGGCTGGTGAATGGCGGTGACCGGTGTCAGGGCCGCGTGGAGGTCCTCTACCGAGGCTCCTGGGGCACCGTGTGTGACGACGGGTGGGACACCAACGATGCCAACGTGGTGTGTAGGCAGCTGGGCTGTGGCTGGGCCAGGTCGGCCCCAGGAAGTGCCCGGTTCGGACAGGGCTCAGGGCCAATCGTGCTGGACAATGTGGGCTGCTCAGGGCATGAGTCCTTCCTATGGAGCTGCCCGCATAATGGCTGGAACTCACACAACTGTGGGCACCACGAAGACGCCGGCGTCATCTGCTCAGGTGGGTCTCTGCCTTGCTGCTGGCCCTTCTGGGCTGATGGTGCTGAGAACACACCCACTCCCCACGCCAGGGCCCCCCAGAGCCTCATACTGTCCCACGGGCACTCTAGTAACTCAGAGTAGCAGGCTCCTAGGTGCTAGGTCTCCAGTTCAGACAACACGTCAACTTGGTGGGACCATGTGTTCTGTATCCTGAAGACAGTGCCAGGATCAGGCTCAAAGGGGTTGGGCTTGGTGTTCATGCACAAGAGGCAGCATCCTGAGCCCAGAGAGGAGCCTGCCCTGTGTCCCCGGAGCCAGCTCACTGCCACCTGCAGGGTGTCTGGGCTTCCACCAGGGCAGCTGGTCCCTGGGTGTGGGGTTTGGTGAGCTCCTCCCCTCTGTGAGGACGGTGTCACCTGGGGACTTCCAGATAGTGATGCAGAGGGGACAACCTGAGTGCACAGAGGTCCTTTGTGAAGGGCAGAGAGAGTGGGAAGGACCAGGGGGAGGTGGGAGATGGCAGGTGGCCAATGAATGGAAGGAGCCAATGGGAGCCTTGGGGATGGGGCATTATGACCACATGGAAAAGTTAGTAATGGGTGTAAACTCCCTTTAGCAGAATAGGTCTAGGCTAAGAAATCAGTGTGCGTATTGATTGACCCCATTTGGTGGGGTCATTACCTGTTCTCGCTGGGGTCAACACCAGGACCCTGATGCCCTGTCCCAGGCATGACACTGGCTTCCATACACTGGACAGGAGTCCTCAGGCTCAGGGAGGCAGGCGATGGCAGGGGACAGAGAGAATGGCTCTGGAAGGACTTCGAGGTTCAGGGCAGCACTCCTGTGTCCCCCCGAAAGGCCATGTGCACGGCGTGTGTTCCGTGTGTAGAAGCTGAGGGTCATCAATCCAGGATCTGGGCCGGGAACCTGGGAGCTTGTTGTCTGACTGTCGTTTTCTTCCCACAGCTGCTCAGACCACCACATCCTGGCCAGGTGAGTCCTGCCACCTCTCCTGGGATGTTCCTCTCTCCTGCCCACCTCTGCCTGTCGGCCCTTTCCAGCTGGCCCATGGCTCTTTGAACCCCATCTGGACAATACTTTTGCCCGCTGTCTCCTAAACTATGGGGGTTGGGGGATTCCAAAGATTCCGTCGTTCCATCCTCCTTCTGAGTTCTCATCAGATACTTGGCGGCCATCTTGGGGGAGAGCGGCCGATTGTCATAGAAGGGCCTCCCCTTCCATGAAGGTGGCCCCGTGGCTCCAGGCTGAGGAGGGCTTTGTGGGATAATGGACACTGATGCCCACTGGCTTTCTGATGACGGGACAGCAGGCTTCTGGGTTCTCTCCTCCTGCCACACCTGCCGCACCCTGAGGGCCAGCATGGTCACACCCGCATCCCAAGGGGGCAGAGACAGTGCGGGGGGATGGCAGTGAACATGTGCTGAGAGTCCTCTGGGTACCAGGACCTGTGCTTGCCTCCTGGTTCAATAACCGGGCCCTGACTCTTTCTATCCAAGCTTCAGAGTCAGGCCAACACCTCAAGCCACCAGTGAGTGCCTGGCTCATGGGGGAGAGATGGGAAAGGTCTTCTGTTTGGAAGGAACATGGCGGTCAGAGACGGGGAGGGATGCGGCTGGTCTCTCCCTGGCCTTCGAACCCGATGACCCAGCCGAGCGGGAGGCTGTGGACAGGCAGGGAGCACGTGCAGGACTTATCTTTGTCCCTCTGGACAGGCAGAGGAGGGTCTCTGACCAGGTCCGTGTCTGACATTGTTGGCCTGTGACTTGTCTGCAGTGGCTTCTGGAAGGAGGTTCAGCCACATCCCTCCCCTTTGCTCAGTATCTTCCTTGGAGGCCTCCTGGGACCTGCTGAGACCACTGTGCTAACTTATCCTTGGGGTGTGTGTCTCTATCTTCTCATGTCTGACAGAGGTCCCATCTCCTCTGTGGGCTTTGCCTCAAGTCAGGCAGAGCTATGGAGAATGAAGAAGTGGCCAAGGAGGCCATGGTCTTGACCTGTCCCTGGAGCCATGTGCCTCCACCCTTGATGGCCCTGGTGGATGCGGCGGCTGTCCTGCTCACCCCGTGGGCAATCCTGGGGCTCCATACCTAGGAGCATACTTAGACCTGGCAGGACAGGATGGCCCCGATCTTTTCCCCATGATGGCGATGAACCCCTGGATGTGTCCATAACTGACCACCTGCCCTGTGATATGGCCATGAGGGAGACCCTGAGTCTAGAACTTGCTTTGAGCCTGGAGCTCAGCACAGACATGGAGGAGGTGTCCTTGTGCCATCTTCTAGGGTTTGGGACCGATTCGGCTCTGGCCCTGAGGCTGGTGAATGGTGGTGACCGGTGTCAGGGCCGCGTGGAGGTCCTCTACCGAGGCTCCTGGGGCACCGTGTGTGACGACGGTTGGGACACCAACGACGCCAACGTGGTGTGCAGGCAGCTGGGCTGTGGCTGGGCCAGGTCGGCCCCAGGAAATGCCCAGTTTGGACAGGGCTCAGGGCCAATCGTGCTGGACGACGTGGGCTGCTCAGGGCACGAATACTTCCTGTGGAGCTGCCCGCAGGCTCAGGCCCAATAGTGCTGGACGATGTGGGCTGCTCGGGACATGAGTCCTTCCTGTGGAGCTGCCCGCACAGTCCCTGGAACGTGCACAACTGCAACCACGGGGAGGACGCCGGCGTCATCTGCTCAGGTGCGTCGCTACCATCCGTGGTGGCCCTTCTGGGCTGATGCTTCTGAGAACATGCCCACTCCCCACGCCAGGGCCTTGCCTGAGCTGTGTACTGTCCCCCAGGCACTGGTGTGTCTCTGGGCAGTGGGCACCCAGGTGCTAGGTTACCTGCTCTGACTACAGGTCAGATTGGTGGGTCCACGTGCCCAGCATCCTGAAGGCAGTGCCAGGAACTGGCTCAAAGGTTTTTGAGCTCCGTGTTCATGCACAAGAGGCAGCGTCCTGAGCCCAGAGAGGAGCCTGCCCTGTGCCCCGGGAGCCAGCTCACTGCCACCTGCAGGGTGTCTGGGGCTTCCACCAGGGCAGCTGGTCCCTGGGTGTGGGGTTTGGTGAGCTCCTCCCCTCTGTGAGGACGGTGTCCCCTGGGAACTCCCAGATAGTGACGCAGAGGGAACACCCTGAGAGCACAGAGGTCCTTTGTGAATGACAGAGAGAGGGAGGGAGCAGGGGGAGGTGGGAGATGGCAGGTGGCCAATGAATGTTAGGAGCCAATAGGGCCTTGGGGATGGCGCATTATGACCCCATGGAAAAATCCAGAAATCTGTGTAAACTCTCAATATCAGAATGCCTCAAGGCTGACACATCAGTGTGCACATTGATTGACCACATTTGGTAGGGTCATTGCCCGTTCATTCTGTGGGGTCAACACCGGGGCCCTGGTGGCCTGTCCCAGGCATGACACTGGCTTCCATACTGGACAGAAAGTCCTCGGGTTCCGGGAGGCAGGCCATGGCAAAGGGACAGATGGTGTGGCTTTGGAAGGACTGTGAAGAGCAGGGCAGCACTGCTGTGTCCCACTCGGGGGCATGAGCATGGAACCAGTTCCGTGTGTAGAAGCTGAGGGTCATCAACCCGGGATCTGGGTTGGGTGCCTGGGAGTTTGGTTTCTGACTGTCCCTTTCTTCCCACAGCTGCTCAGCCTTCTACAACCTGGCCAGGTGAGTCCCAGCCACCTCTCCTGGGATGTCCCTCTCCTGGCCCCTTTGCCAGTTTCTCTCTCCAGCGGACTCCTGGGTCTTGAACCCCATCTGGGCCACACGTTTGCCCTCTGTCTCCTTTAAAGGGAGGATTGCAAGGACTCTATCTGTCCATTCTCCTTCTGAGTTCTCATCAGATACTTGGCGGCCGTCCTGGGGGAGAGCGGCCGATGGTCAGAGAAGTGCATCCCCTTCCATGAAGGTGGCCCCGTGGTTCCAGGCTGAGGAGGGCTTTGTGGGATAGTGGACACTGATGCCTATTGGCTTCCTAACATTCATTGGCCACACTGATGACGGGACAGCAGGCTTTTGGCTTCTACCCTCCTCTCACACCCTCCGCACCCTGAGGGCCAGCATGGTCACTGCATCCCAAGGGGGCAGAGACAGTGCCCGGGAGTGGCGGTGAACATGTGCTGAGGGTCCTCTGGGTACCAGGACCTGTGATTGTCTCCTGGTTCAGTTACCAGGCCCGGACTCTTTCTATCCAAGCTTCAGAGTCAGGCCAACACCTCAAGCCACCAGTGAGTGCCTGGCTCATGGGGGAGAGATGGGAAAGGTCTTCTGATGGGGAGGCACATGGCAGTCAGAGACGTGGAGGATGAGGCTGGTCTCTCCCAGGCTTTCGACCCTGATGACCCAGCCGAGCTGGAGGCTTGTGGACAGGCAGGGAGCACGTGCAGGAGGCACATGGGAAAGTCACGCTGACCGACCCACCCTTTTGGGAAGGACTCCTTTCCTGAGGCCTCACCAAGGCCTTACTCTTTGTTGTCCCTTCCAGATGCATGGATAACGCCTTCCACAACTGCGTATCCTCAAACAACAACAGGTACAGGACCCTTCACCCTCCCAGGGCCCCTCTCTGCCTCTGAATCTTGACTGAGATGGAACGTGACAGGAAGAGACTCCACGTGGGCCATCCTCTTTCTTGTCCCTGTAGGGGGTTGGGCCAGAGGAGGGTCTCTGACCAGGTCTGTGTCTGACATGGTTGGCCTGCGACTTGTCTCCATGGGGGTTCTGGGAGGAGGCTCAGCCAGGACCCTACGCCATTGCTCAGGGTCAGCCCTTAAGTTCTCCTGGGACCTGCTGAGACCCCTGTGCTGGCTCACCCTCAGGGTGGGTGAGTCTCTGTCCTCTCATGTCTGACAGAGGTCCCATCCCCTCCGAGGGCTTTGCCTCAATTCAGGCAGGACCACGGAGAAGAAATAATAGGCCAAGGAGGCCATGGCCCAGAGCCATGGACCTCCACCCTGGTTGGCCCTTCTGATACAGGGGCATTTCTCACCTCATGGGCAATCCTGGGGCTCCCTACCTAGAATACCCTTAGACCTGGCTGGACAGAATGTCCTGGTCCTTTCCCTGTGATGGAGATGAACCCCTGGGTGTGTCCAAAAATGACCGCCTGCCCTGGGCGTGGCCATGAGGGAGGCCCTGAGTCTAGAACCTGCCTTGGGCTTGGAGCTCAGCACAGACATGGAGGAGGTGTCCTTGTGCCGTCCACTAGATTTTGGGACCGATTCGGCTCTGGCCCTGAGGCTGGTGAATGGTGGTGACCGGTGTCAGGGCCGCGTGGAGGTCCTCTACCGAGGCTCCTGGGGCACCGTGTGTGACGACAGTTGGGACACCAATGACGCCAACGTGGTGTGCAGGCAGCTGGGCTGTGGCTGGGCCAGGTCTGCCCCAGGAAGTGCCCGGTTCGGACAGGGCTCAGGCCCGATCGTGCTGGACGACGTGGGCTGCTCAGGGCACGAGTCCTACCTGTGGAACTGCCCACACAGGGGCTGGAACTCACACAACTGCAACCACGGAGAAGACGCCGGCGTCATCTGCTCAGGTGCGTCCCTACCATTCCTGGTGGCTCTTCTGGGCTGATGCTGCTGAGAACACGCTCACTTTCCATGCCAGGGCCTTTCCTGAGGCTCGTACTGTCCCCCAGGCACTGGAGTGACTCAGGGCAGCTGGCTCCCAGGTGCTAGGTTACCTGCTCAGGCTAAACGTCAGCTTGGTGGGTCCACGCGCCCAGCATCCTGAAGGCAGTGCGACGACCTGGCTTGAAGGGGCCTGGGATCCGTGTTCATGCAAAAGAGGCAGCGTCCTGAGCCCAGAGAGGAGCCTGCCCTGTGCCCCCGGGGTCAGCTCACTGCCACCTGCAGGGTGTCTGGGCTTCCACCAGGGTAGCTGGTTCCTGGGTATGGGGGTTGGTGAGCTCCTACTCTTTGTGAGGACGGTGTCCCCTGGGGGCTCCCAGATAGTGACGCAGAGGGGACACTTGAGAGCACAGAGGTCCTTTGTGAAGGACAGAGAGAGTGGGAGGGAGCAGGGGGAGGTGGGAGATGGCAGGTGGCCAATGAATGGAAGGAACCTATGGGGGCCTTTGGGATGGGCTATTATGACCCCATGAAAAAAACTAGAAATGGATGTAAACTCTCAATATCAGAAATGGTCAAGGCTGACACATCAGTGTGCACATTGATTGACCCCATTTGGTGGGGTCATTGTCCATTCATTCTCTAGGGTCAACACCAGGCCCCAGGGGCCTGTCCCAGGCATGACACTGGCTTGCATACATTGGATAAGGAGTCCTCAGTCTCTGGGAGGCAGGCGATGGGAGGAGACAGAGGGCGTAGCTCTGGAAGGACTGAGGTGCGGGGCACAGGAATCAGCTCCGTGTGCAGAAGCTGAGGGTCCACAACCTGGGATCTGGGCCGGGCACCTGGGAGCTTGGTGTCTGACTGTCCTTTTCTTCCCACAGGTGTTCCGACCACCACAGACTGGCCAGGTGAGTCCAGCCACCTCTCCTGGGGTGTACCTCTCTCCAGCCCCCCTCTGCCGGTCGGCCCTCTCCAGCTGGCCCATGGCTCTGTGAACCCCATCTGGATCACACTTTTGCCCTCTGTCTCCTTATCTATTGGGAGAAGGGGGATGCCAGAGGCTCTGTCTGTCCATCCTCCTTGTGAGTTCTCATCAGACACTTGGCGGCCGTCCTGGGGGAGAGCGGCTGATGGTCAGAGAAGTGCCTCCCCTTCCATGAAGGTGGCCCCGTGACTCCAGGCTGAGGAGGGCTCTGTGGGATAGCGGACAGTGATGCCCACTGGCTTTCTGATGACGGGACAGCAGGCTTCTGGGTTCTCTCCTCTTTTCACACCAGTCACACCCTGAGGGCCAGCATGGTCACCGCATCCCAAGGTGGCAGAGACAGTGCCCGGGTTGGCGGTGAACATGTGCTGAGGGTCCTCTGGGTACCAGGACCAGTGCTTGCCTCCTGGTTCAGTCACCAGGCCCGGACACTTTCTATCCAAGCTTCAGCGTCAGGCCAAAGCCTCAAGCCACCAGTGCGTGCCTGGCTCATGGGGGAGAGATGGGAAAGGTCTTCTGATGGGGAGGTACATAGCGGTCAGAGACATGCAGGGATGCGGTTGGTCTCTCCCAGGCCTTCGACCCGATGACCCAGCTGAGCGGGAGGCTGTGGACAGGCAGGAAGCACATGCAGGAGGCACATGGGAAAGTCACTCTGACCGACCCACCCTTTTGGGAAGGACTCCTTCCCTGAGGCCTCACCAAGGACTTTCTCTATATTTTCCCTTCCAGACGTATGGACAACTCCATCCACACCTGTCCCTCTTCAAACAACAGCAGGTACAGGACCCTTCCCCCTCCTAGGGCCCCTCTCTGAATCTTAATCACGCCTGGAATGGAAGTGACAGGAAGAGGCTCCACATGGGCCATCCTCATCCTTGTCCCTGTAGGGTGTGTGGCCAGAGCAGGGTCTCTGACCAGGTCCTTGGCTGACATGGTTGTTTGGTGACTTGTCTCTAGGGGGCTTGTTAGGAGGCTCAGCCAGGACCTTCCCCTGTTGTTCAGGGTCAGCCCTGGAGGCCTCCTGGGACCTGCTGAGACCCTGTGCTGGCTCAGCCTCAGGGGTGGGGGAGTCTCTGTCCTCTCATGTCTGACAGATGTGGTCCCATCCCCTCAAAGGGCTTTGCCTCAAGTCAGGCATGACCATGGAGAAGAAATATGTGGCCCAAGAGGCCATGGCCTTGGCCTGTCCCCAGAACCATGCAGTCAAGCTAACCACATGGGCAAATCTGGGGCTCCCTACCTAGGAGCACCCTTAGACCTGGCTAGACAGGATGTCCCCGATCCTTTCCCTGTGATGGAGATGAACCCCTGGGGTGTCCAAAGCTGACCGCCTGCCCTTGGGCGTGGTATGAGGAAGGCCCTGAGTCTAGAACCTACCTCTGGCCTGGAGCTCAGCACAGACATGGAGGAGATGTCCCTGTGTCGTCCTCTAGGGTTCGGGAACGACTCAGGTTTGGCCCTGAGGCTGGTGAACGGCAGTGATTCATGTCAGGGTCGCGTGGAGGTCCTCTACCGAGGCTCCTGGGGCACCGTGTGTGACGACAGTTGGGACACCAATGACGCCAACGTGGTGTGCAGGCAGCTGGGCTGTGGCTGGGCCAGGTCTGCCCCAGGAAGTGCCCGGTTCGGACAGGGTTCAGGGCCGATCCTGTTGGACGACGTGGGCTGCTCAGGGCACGAGTCCTACCTGTGGACCTGCCCGCACAGGGGCTGGAACTCGCACAACTGTGGGCACCACGAGGACGCCGGCGTTATCTGCTCAGGTGCGTCCTGTCTTGGGGCCTCCCTGTTAGTGTGGCACCTGGTTCCAGGGCTCCTCTCGCCTCAGCCCAGCAGGAGACGGGCCGTTTCAGTTTCAAGCTCGCATTGCCAGCAGCTGCTGGGTTCCTGGACGTTTGGGGGTGGCTGTCGCATGGCCCCAGCCTGGCCCTCAGATAAACCCCAACACCTTCTTTGGAGAAGAGCCCCTATACTTACTAGGCAGCTCCCATGGGCCGCTCCCAGGAGCAATTCTGAGGCCACGGGAGGGGGATCACACAGGAGCCCCTCTGTCCACATCCTGAGGGGCTCCTTCCCACACACCGTGGGCCCAGGACTGACCCCGATGCTTCTCTTTCTTGCAGGTCTGCCCAACGTTGTGACTACCCCAGGTGAGTCCCAGGGCCCAGGGTGTGGCAGAGCCCCTGCTCTGTGTTTGCAGGAGGAGAAGGGCGGGCTCCTGGGCAGCTTTTCTCTCTGATGATCCTGGATCCCACAGTGATGTGCTGAGGGCACAGGACTCGGCTGTCCTTGGGCTCAGCCTGGGAGCCCCTCTGAGCCTGCCGCTGCCGCCTCCGGGGCTCACGGAGAGGCTGTGGCAGAAGAGGATTGTCCTGGCATTTCAGGTGCAAATAACCATCCAGGTCAAGCCGTGGCGAAAGGTGACCATTGTAGAAACATGGCCGAGTAGAACCCCTACCTACAGATGCTCGTCTGGTAACAGGTTCCTTCACCCGAGAGCACAAGCCCCGACTGCTCTCTGTGTCCCGATGGAAACACTCGGTGCCAATAATGGTTGCAGTGCTCCCAGGGGCTCCCTGGCCATGCACTGTGACCTGGATGGTCAAGGCTCTGACAAGTCCTGCAATAAGGACAAGACTTTACTCTCTTCTGTCACACA